TCCTCAAAATAGTGATCAAGATGAATATGAAGATTTCACTCAAGAAATGCAATTTTGGTTTCCATCAAATCAAAGCTTTAGGACACGTAGTCTCTGGAATAGCAATTGGCATAGATCAAAATAAGGTTGCAGCTGTCCTCCAAAAGCCTGTTCCCAGTAACAAGAAAGAAGTTCAATCTTTCTTGGGCTTTGCTGGCTATTACAGACAGCACATTAAAGATTTTGCCGACATTGCAAGACCGCTTACTGAATTGACAAAGATGGAAATGGTATTTGAGATGACCCACCAAAGACTTGTTGCCTATAACCTTCTGAAAGAGAAGCTAACCTCTGCTCCTCTACTCCTTTTTCCAGACTGGAAATACCCTTTCATACTATATGTAGACGCAAGTATGACGGGCCTTGGAGCAGCACTCCACCAAGTCCAGACAATCAATAAAATCAAGAGAGAAGGACCTATTGTTTTCATATCCAGACAACTTAAAGACAGTGAGACTAGATACGGTGCTAGCCAGCTAGAATGTTTGTGCCTAGTATGGGCTGTAGAAAAACTACACTACTACTTAGATGGAAGTGTTTTTGAAGTTGTGACTGACTGCACTGCACTAAGATCATTGATGAATATGAAAACTCCCAACAGGCACATGTTGAGGTGGCAAATTGCAATCCAAGAGTACAGGGCAAACATGAGCATCAAACATAGAGATGGCAATATCCACAAGAATGCAGATGGACTGAGTAGATGGGCTTTACCAAATGACCCAAGCAACCCTGCGTATGACCCTGAGGATAAAGATGATGACAGATTTCCCATCATGGGTATTCACGTATCTGATTTCAAGGATGAATTCTTTGAAACAGTCAGAGAAGGTTATCAAAAGGATAACAACACTGTCATCCTTTCCCAAATACTCATGAAAAATTGCAAGGATACCCAGCTGAAAAACTTGTTGCAAGAACCATGGAAGACTTCCTATGCTGAAGGCAGGTTTTCACTGTTTGATGGCCTTCTATACCACAGGGAGAAACACAATTCTGTCTTACTTTTAGCAGACAAAGAAAGCATCAATACCATTCTGTATGAATGTCATGATAGTGTTTCCTCTGGCCATTTCTCTGAAGACAGAACATTAGAGAAAGTAGAAGACACTGCTTGTTGGTGTAGCTGGAAGAAAGACACAATTGAATACTGCGCTTCTTGTGATAGATGCCAAAAAGCAAACAAAGCCACTGGAAAAAGATTTGGTTTGCTTATGAAGATCCAAGAACCTTCCAAACCATGGGACATCATCAACATGGACTGGGTTACATCATTATCCCCAGGAGGAGCAGCTAGCTTTAATGCGTGCCTAGTAATTGTAGACAGGTATTCAAAATCCCCAATATTTATACCCTGCTTCAAAGAAGACTCAGCAATGGACACAGCCATTTTGTTTTGGAACAGAGCTATGCCAAGGACAGGGATTCCTAGAATTATTATATCAGACAGAGATCCAAAATTCACTTCAGAATTCTGGACTGGTTTGCACAGCATGCTAGGAACTAAGCTTTCCTTTTCCACAGCCTACCATCCCCAAACTGACGGACTAGCAGAACGGATGATCCAAACTCTGGAGGATATGGTCAGGAGATTCTGTGCATATGGGCTAGAATTCAAAGACAATGATGGATATACACATGATTGGGTTTCTTTATTACCAATTCTTGAGTTAGCCTACAGCACCAGTATACATTCTACCACTGGAAAAGCGCCGGCCATTCTAGAAAAAGGTTGGATTCCAAATCTGCCCAGGAATTTCCTCAAGAAGGAAGCAGTAGATATTCATCCCACTGCTCTCACTTACGCTAAGATCTTTGAGAAAACCAGAGAGCATGCTGAGCAATGCATAGCAGATGCTGTAAACTACAATAAAGATAGGTGGGATAAAACACACAGAGAACCTCACTTCAAAGTTGGGGACCAGGTACTGATATCTACCACTAACTTCAACAATTTGTCTGGACCGAAAAAGATGAGAGATTCCTTTGCAGGCCCATTCATAGTTAAAGCCCTACACAGGAAAAATACTGTTGAAGTGATCTTAACTGAAGAGTTCAGTAGAAAACACCCCACTTTCCCTGTCAGTCTAGTTAAGCCTTACCATGCTCCCAATGAAGACAAATTCCCTCTGAGACAGAAAGTGAAAGTAGTCATACCCCCCATGGAAGAAAACCCCAAGAATAAAATCATCCACAAGATTCTGAGGGAAAAGAGATTAAGAGTAGACAATAGGGATGTGAGGATGTTTCTAGCTAGATACAAGAACATGAGTGCAGACAAAGATGAATGGCTACTAGAAAAAGATATTCCCGATGCTAATATCCTACTCCAAAAATTCAGGAGTGAGAAGAGATCTACCTGATGCTTCATTTCTCGAAATGAACCCCTTTTGGTGGTAGGGAATGTCAGCCTTAGAGCCAGCCAAGCTGGCCAAAAGACTGCTTTAAGTCCTCCTTCTTCACTCAAGTTCCTACTGTAACTTTTTCATCTTAATCTTTTATTACTTTCTGACTTCAGAAATGAATTGCTCTGTTAATTTTTAACCCTAGTCACCACTACACACTTTTTGCACTACTCTTCTCCTTCATAGACTTTTGTAATATTTTCACAGTACCTTGTGAAATATCAACCAAGTTTGGAATTTCAACTCTCTATCACATGTACATGTTGTGATTATGTAATCCCAACTCTGAAAATTTTCTCAGTAGACACTGAGTTCGCAATTTCAGGGATCTTCAAAGGTTCAGACCCACCCAGAACCAACTCAGACCAGAAAACCCAGCACACCTCAACTTTGGAATCACCGCCGTATCATC